CCTATTTTCTGTTAATTATACATCCTATTTGCATAAAAAATGCAATTACGAAATTCGTTACTATGATTCTTAATTTTTATGATTTCTGAAAACCAGATGGTAATGTTATATCAAAGACCACCGGTAGATTACTTGGCAAGTAATTTAAATCACATGTTGATGCATTTATATATATTATTTTTCCATCAGATGAGATACCATATCCTGTTAAAAAAGGAAGCATGTAATCTTATTTTACATAGAAGAAAGAAAATTAAACATACCTTCATGGATGTGACCAAACACATGATACTTTGGTTTAACTCTATTTTGCACTGTGGACAATAATTCTACACATCCAGCTCTTACTCCACTACAACATAAATCTCCATGTCCTACAGGAGGAGTATGTGTTATAAGAATATCCGTATCCGACGGTATCATCTCCCACTTCGAAAGGCAGGCTTCACCACGTGGTACATTAAATGCCCATTTGCAAAATTCTGGTTGCCTAAGAAAAAATAGATATTTACATCCAAACCATAAGTACAGTTTCTAAATAAATATAATTTTCTATTATATATTCTCTCTCTGATACACTGCCACTTTAGTGTACTTACCATGGCGTGCCATATATTTTTATTCCATGTATGATAATTTCAGAATCTTCTAAATAAATACAATTTGTCAAGTAATCTTTAACATTGCTAGTTTGTATGGCTTCTTGCAAAGTATCTTTAGACATTCCCAGCGTAGGTATGTTATCCAAAATACTGGTCCCTGTATGTTTCTGACGTTCTCCACTACTATGCATCGTAAATGGATGAGTAAACGTAGAATCGAAGCTAAGCTCATGATTACCAGCAATAACAATTTTATTTTTATGTGGCAAATTACCTAGGGCAAGAATACTTTTAATGTACATTAGTAAAATACATTTTCATATATAAAAAGTTGTATTTTAAATTATTCACCAATCCAGTTATTAAATTCTATGACTTCTTGTAAGCTACCACACTTTGTAAAGTCTCCTGCATGGATAAAGACATCTCCCATAGGTATATCGAATTTTATAAATGGTGTTAAGGAATGAGTATCACTCATACAGACAACACGAAGCTGAAATATAAAAATAAATAGGCCGTATCTAATGGAACTGTTATCATTTTCTTTCTATTGTAGATAGGATTGCAACTGCATCAATAAACACGTTGACATTTTTAGGTTAGCTTTAAGCAGATAAGTTAAGATAACAAAACATAATCTTAAAATTCAACCTTATCATTTGGAGCTTCGCCAGTTGGAAGCTTGGCATTTATTTTAATAACTTTTTGTTCCTTTGACAATTCACTCCAGGCTTCTGTTGGATTGTGTGTCAGTGGATGTATCTCTATCTTCATGCTGAGACGATTTTGATATGCGATTGTCAATTGCAGTTGTTATTAAAATAACAAATTCAAATTGGTGTGCATTATATACACTCGATCTATTTTATAAACGTATTAATCTAACTTCATTTTATACATTTTACCTACAAAAATTGATGATTGTTTCATCAATGATAACTTTAGGTTGGGTTACTGTCATTTATTTACTTTCTTGTTACATATAACTCAAACAATTGATCTTTTTTACATAATATTGTTACATGTCAAATTATCCATTACTAGATACTCTTGTAATATCCATTCTAATCTTTTAAATCTTATAGCAATAATCAATTTTCTTTTAATATTCAAATATTGGATGTGATCAAAATTTTCGCGCCCAATTTCGTAGCTCAACAAAAGATTTTCGTTCGCATGTAAAAAATCATCCTGTGAAAACATTGTAATTTCAATTTAATTTAATTGATGTATTTTATTTTAATTTATATATTTTAGCGTGATCGCACTAACTGCGAGATCATCAACGATGTCACTTATTTTTTTCTTGTAATCTTGTAATCATATTTTTATTTATAAAGTTAAGTCGCAACAATGACCAATCAGCAACGTATGTACATGACATCTTGAAATATCTGTACCTGACATTTAATTTAATATTTTCTACTGTATATGTAATAAGGTTCAAAACATTTCGAAGTGAAATTTACAATGTAGTTTTGTACTTTGACCATCAGACTTTTTATTTGGACTTTGGCATCAGTTATTTTTTGTTTCGCATATTTTAAGTGCAAGCGGCATCCATGTTTTCTAATTACAGAGATACATGATAAAGTAAATGGATATTATAAAAGGCGTTGGAAAGTGCTAGTCATTAATGTGTTGACCGATATTTAGTACATATACATCAATTTTCGTGATACAAAGTTATTTCACTAATACAGTGTAAACAAAAAAAACGACAGAAAATGTTTTCACGATCGGTATGTAATAATCCATCCACTTTAAAACATATGCGATCATAAAAGAAATGCGAAATTAATAGAGAAAATGAAAAATCTTACATGGAAAAAACTTTTTATATGAAGAGATTAAAAATTAAAAATTTTGTTATATATTATTAAGTTATTTTAACTATAAATTAAGAGAACATATGTTTCATAGGTGCTCAAAGGTGTAAAATGTCAGAAAATGTTGCGAACTTTCTCATCAAATTCAGAACTCGCTATGGGCTACAACTTTGGTTAGTTTAAAGAATATAATATATGTAACTATATCGTATTATAGATTTTTTGGTTTTATTATTTTACTTATAGATACATTTCATGTATTCTTTTTTCTACATTAGAATTAACAGATACTCAAAGGGAGATGCAAGAGTTAGCACGCAAGTTTACAAAAGAAGAAATTATTCCAGTAGCTGCTGAACATGATCGGACTGGAAAATATCCATGGGATATTATTAAAAAAGCTTGGAGTTTGGGTCTGATTAATAAGGAAATTCCTCAATACTGCGGTATAATTATGAATTCATTAATTATTATATAATTAGAGTCATCATTTGTATCTAGTTTTTAAATGCACAAAAACATCTTGTTATTATAGGGGGAATGGGACTTGGCACTTTCACAAATTGTCTAGTTGCTGAAGAATTTGCTTATGGTTGTACAGGAATATCGACGGCAATAGAAGGATCAGGATTGGGTGTAAGACTTTTCGCATAACAATAGTTGCCACAAATTTGTAAAACAAACACATTGTACATTGTACGTATGTTTTAGCAAGCTCCGGTAATTTTAGCTGGTACAAAAGAGCAACACAAGAAGTATCTTGGAAGATTTCTCGAAGAACCACTTGTATCTGTAAGATGACTGTATATAAAGTTTATCCTGTGTACAAAACAAACGTAGATATCTGTTTTCATAATGTAAAAAATTACAGGCCTACTGCGTTACTGAACCCGGTGCTGGATCAGATGTAGCAGGTATTAAATTAAAGGCTGAAAAAAAAGGAAATGAATGGGTCCTTAATGGTACCAAAATGTGGATAACAAACGGCGGTGTTGCTAATTGGTAAAATCAGTTTACTACAAAATATAATATATATCTTATATGACGTGTATATAATATATACTTATTACTACAGGTACTTTGTATTGGCTAGATCAAATCCTGATCCACAAGTACCACCTAATAAAGCTTTTACAGCTTTCATCGTCGAACGTGAAAGCGAAGGCTTGACACCCGGCCGCAAGGTAAGTTTTCTGATTATCCAAGAGTTATTTAATTTAAAAAAAATAGCATCACCCACTAAGAGATAATTTTGTTGTGATGTCCGAAGGAAATAAACATGGGTCAAAGAGCTTCTGATACACGAATGATAACTTTCGAAGACGTACGGGTTCCAGAGGAAAATGTTTTGGGCAAAGAGGGCGAAGGTTTTAAAATTGCTATGCGAACCTTTGACAAAACTAGACCCGCGGTACAGTAAAACTGATGATTTACATAATAATTGTATTATTTAGACTTTTTTTTCAATTATGTGTTACTATTTTCATAGGTGGCATGTGCAGCTGTTGGTTTGGCTCAAAGAGCACTAGATGAGGCCACGAAATATGCATTGGAACGTAAAACCTTCAACAAACCAATAGCAGATCATCAAGCAGTGGCATTTATGTTAGCGGACATGATGATTGGCGTTGAAACGGCCAGACTGGCCTGGATGAAAGCTGCTTGGGCATGCGAGCGAGGTCTTCCAGCCGGAACACTTGCCAGCGTTGCAAAATGTTATGGTGCCGACGTAGCCAATAAGTGTGCAACGGACGCTGTGCAAGTACGTAATTAAATGTAACAAAATATGTTCCTACTTATTGTTACCTGATTTAACTGAATTATTTTACAGATTTTCGGTGGTGCTGGTTTTAACACCGAGTACCCGGTAGAAAAATTGATGCGAGATGCAAAGATATATCAAATATACGAGGGTACAGCGCAAATTCAAAGACTGATCATTTCTCGTGCTATTTTTGCCGAGGCTAAACAAAGAGCCGGCTAAGCGATTAAATTAGATTACAAATGTTGAAACTTATACTTGAATGAATTTTACATTTAAGAAAATGTATATACGTCACAGTAGTAAGCGTTAATCATTGTGAAAGTATTTTATCATTGTTATGATATATCAACATATATTTTTATACAAATTTATGTCTATTAAGAACAAACATTTTATAACTTTTAATACAGCGCCTTCATTGTATCAGGTTTTTTCTACTGTTTAATAAAATTGCATAAAAATATTGTTGTATCTTTGATACGGTGGTTCGATGTTTCATATTTCGCGGTTTCCGATGCCAGGTAGCGCTGCAGACGTTGTCCGAAAGCGTTAGTCAAGTGTATTGTACAATGAAAAGGGATTACATCGCATTATGTCCGTCAGGCCATAGTTTTTACATGGTTATATTTGGTGAAGTCGTGCGTGACGAGTTATGCAACATTCGGTGTAAAAGCGCCCCATAATAGGACGTCCAGATATTGTGACACTTGACCTACTTAGACAGTATCGTCGTATTTAAGACAGTGGTAAATTGACAACATTTATAACGCGAAAAACGCATTTGACAGCCTTTCAATTTGCAGATTCTAAATGCTTACAAACACGAGAGAGCAGAGAAATCCTTCGGAAATTGCGTCTTTCCGTAATACATTATTGGAACACAGTGCCGTGTCTAGTAGAGCCTGGTACCCATATAAAGCTGTGGTCGATACGTTCCTTCTTTCGAATTACTTTCGCTTTTTCTCATGCTCGGTATCGGATAATTGAAAACGAACAATTACGATACCCATTCGAGCGTTCGAGACATTGTATTTAAAACGATAAAATACATTTGCAAACTCTCTCCCTTGATAAAGCGGCATTTACGACGGTCGTCCAGTATTTTCCCTTTCGATATCCACTGCCGTGCCTGCAAATCTCAAAACGGGTGCGCACACTATATGTATCTTGCAGAATTTATTATACATCGATTGTATCAAATGAACTACCGCAAAGAAACAGCCTGTGGATTACGCATTATATTTATAACAAAGTAAGATCTCGTCTGCACAGATTACAATAGTTCCGCGCCATACGCGTGCGAACAAACGAGAGAAATATTTTCACTGAAAATGTACGATCGTACGCGGACGGAGGTTCGATTAATACATCTGTAAGCTAATTTTGCGAGGGTCTCGAGAAGAATCCGTATCAACGGACGAGGAGCTGATATTTTCACATCCGCATGAATTCGCACTCTTCGATATTCAAAGTATAACGATGCCCGACGAAAAGATAGTCGCATAGCAAATAAATTACAAGAAATTTTCGAGTCAGTAGTATTCGTACCCGTACGTCGAATTTACTTGTGAACCACGGTATATACACACAGTACAAATAACATTGAAGCACACAATGCGGCCGGAGAACTTGTCCGATTGCACCAGCATCGAACGCAAGGCCGTGAAATCGGCGACCACATAGATGTAGCAGAACGATGGCAACGATCGAAAGTCGATCACCGGGAAAAGTGAATTCGGGCCGTGTCAGTGATACAGAAGACGATCCGCGGGTCCATCCGGCGAGAGTACGGTCCTGGAACTCGTGCTGTCAGAGCGCAACGGTGCGCCGGACGCTCGCTTGACTAAGGGAGTGCCCGTCCCGATGCAAAGTGTAAGTGAAGTGGCCTACAGACCTACATTTGTCTAACGTTCGATTTTTTTCGGGCCGCCGGACAGGAGGTTAATAATCCGCGCGGGGCTCATTTTTCCGCGGGCGTGTGTGATGTCGCTGTTGTGTGATATACCGATGTTTGGTTGAAAGAGACGGTGTAGTTTCGGTACGCTCAGACGGCGCTGGCCGGCGCGGGGAGCGTAGTAGTAAAAAGAGAGGAGGATAGCAAGAGCTTGCGCACACGAGGAGAGTCGGAAAGAGAGAGAGACAGACGAGAAGAGTGGGACGGAGAGGGAAAAACCGCGGGTTAGAGGGAGAGAGAGAGAGAGATATAGAGAAAGAGGGAACAAGACCGACCGACCGACCGACCGACCGACCGAGCGCGCGCTTCTCTCGGCTAGACAGAGAGAAAGGAAGCGAGACAGCCAGATAGATAGACGGGGGTGAGAAAGAGACCGAGGACACGTAAGAGAGTGTAGGTGTACCTCGAGAGAAGTGCGTGCGCTCGGGAACGACGTGCAGGAGGAGGGACCCCCGTCTGTCTGTCTGCTGGAATGCACGAGGGCCGAATGGCTACAGGGACAGGGGAAGGTGGGGGCCACACGGCCCTCGAGAACACGACCGCGACGGCCCTTACGGAATCATCGTCATCTTCCTCCTCCTCGGTACCGACGATCCTGACCGAAAACACGGCCGCGGCCAATCTGGCTCTGGCGGGACCTCAGCAGCCGGGTCTTCATCAGGTACAGCAGCAGCAACAGGCGCAACAGCAGCAGCAATCGCATCCGCGACCGCGGGTCAGCCTGGTCAGCGATCTGCCACCAGCGAACGATGCTGCAGGTAACCTCAACAACTCATTTCTATGGCCCCGAGTTCTTTGTTGCCGTAGCGTACCGCTTGCCAAACTCCTTTCTTCTGCTTCGCTCTGTCTGCTTCACTCTCACTCTCCGCCGTTTTCTCTTTCTCGCTTTCGCTTTCAGCTGTCTCCCTCTCTTTTCCCGTCCGCGATCTTTCGTCCTTTTCTCGCATCCTTCTCTCGCTGACGTTACACGTTGTCCCACCGCCCGCCTCCTTCCCTCCCTCCCTCTATCTTTCTCTCTCCTTTCCTCCCCACTCCATCTCTCTCACACGCTCGCCCAGCATCTCTCTTCCGCTCGGACGCGAGTTATCCGTCTCTCTCTTGACTGTTCGCTACGCCGCATCGATCTCCCTCGCTCCTTCGACTCGGTCCACTTCCGAAGTTACAGGTACTACACGCGGTCTCCCATTCTTCCTCATTGCCGCAACGTGTGAGCACGATGTTTTTAAGCGATTCCGTGACCACGTAGCCTCCGTAACAGCCGTGCATCTCCTCTGCTCGCGCGCATCCAGCAACAATGGGACACGGAACGTGGCGGTACACGTTTACGCAGCGCACTTCGTTACCACGAGTGCCTCCAATGAAACACTTTCAGGAATGAATTTCCTTCGGCGATGGTCTAGCGGACACTCGGAGCCCGTGAATCCTGCGTCTCACGCCGCCGAGCTTCGTACCTTGAAACTAACCTCAAAAACGAACGTCGGGAACGCCGATGTTCGCGTGCAGGCCCATCTATGCATATGTGGCGCACGTGAATTTCGGAGCGACGTTTTATGGAACGTCTGCAGCGACGTTTAGAAAAAGGAAATGCTGCGAAGAATATTTAACGATACGACCCTATCGATCGCCGGCATTCACGGCGAATATAGACACAAGAATAATATGTTTATTTCTGTAGTAATTTCTTCCGTGGATCGCCGCCGAGGCTGAAGAAGGCACGGCAGCCGCCGCGGCTCGTCGATGAAAAATCCGTTAAGTCGCGTCGATCGTCGGATCGACGGTCGAGCGTGGCACGATCGATCGCGACCATTCAAATATTCGCGGCTACGGCAGCCGCGCGCCATGCGGTATGCGCAACAGGCGTTTCGGCGCAAATTCCAAAGCGAGGAGGCGAACACGACGGGGCTCTCCCGCGGCCTCAGATTTAGAACAGATAGAGAGCCTCCTCCGAGCGTTTCATTATGAGCGTTGCGCCGACCCTTCGTGGACAAAATAGCGATTCGATGAAATCAGCCGCACGGTTGCCTTTATTCACGCCGGCGCGGACCTCTCCCCTTTTTCGTCCCCTCTTTGCGCCATCGTTACCTCGTCGTGCCGCTCCGCGCGTATGCATAGTGGAAAGATCGCGAGACGTGTCTTTTTCTTTTTCTTTTTTTTTTTTCGCTAAAACAATGCCCGGTTATTGCCTTTTCACGAGCTCTTTCCACACCGTGTGTCTCCCCGGCCGTCTCTTTTTCGTCGTCCCGTTACTATGTTTACCCGGTCGAACGAAGGTTTCACCTCTCGTAAAAGTATCTCGTCGACCCGGCGACTTACCCCCTCCCCCTCGCCGTCCCTTGGCCCGTTGGAACGCGAATCCGTGTCAAAGTGCTCCGTCGGGCAGGAATATCTAATTACTCGGTAAACAAGTAGCTTTCGCCTCGCGAGACCAGCTGCCTGCTTCGCAAACGACTTGGTCCCCGGTGGTCGTCGCCTTCGTATCGCTCGTTGTGCACGGGGCTCGGGGTCCCAGTGGAACCCAGGGGCTGATCCAGTTGGCCGAAATTATCTCTGTCAGTCGGCCGATGCGGCGCGCACGTCTGTCCAATCAGTTTAATTATCGTTAGGCTGCGGATTTTATGCGATTACGACGGAAACGTGTTAATTGAAAATAGCGAGAAGATCGGTAGAAACTAATTTGTACTCGTTCGAACTTAACCCCTTCACGTGCATGCTCGAGTTAACTCGAGCGCGCTAAACTGGCCAAACTGTGCACACTCTGTCTCTTATACACATCTAGATGTGTATAAGAGACAGAGTGTGCACAGTTTGGCCAGTTTAGCGCGCTCGAGTTAACTCGAGCGCGCTAAACTGGCCAAACTGTGCACACTCGAGATAATTCGAGCGGCGTTGTACTTTATGTTGCTATAATTTTTCACACTCGAATGCAATCGAGAATTGAAAATAACAATGTGAAAGCAAAAAAGAAACAATCGTTTTATATAAAAGTATAAAATATATCCTTTTTCTACGTATCATTTACGACTTATCTCTTCCTTGTGAGTCGCTTTCCGACAGCGTATTCATATTCAGATTCTGATTCGCTCATTTTTCAATATATATTTTACTAAAATATAATGTAAAATAAAATATAATAATAATAATAGTAATATTCTGAAAATTAGAAATCATACCAATTGTATAAATATTTAATATTTTTGTATTTTTGTAATTTTCTTGCCAAGACAACGTTCTAAACTGTTTTTTTACGTTAAAAAAAATTGATCTTTTTTGGCCGGCCTTTTTTAAAAAAACTGTGCATTAAGGGGTTAATTAAAATGATTAAAGAAGACTAAGATATTTATGCGGCAATTAACCCTTAGGGGACCAAAACTATTTATTTCCAGTTTACACACTGCCAAGTCCAGTCCGCTGTTTTTCAGACGAAGAGAAATTTTTTACTGACAATTTTTGTATCAAATATAGAGAAGAGATATTCATTTTTCTTAAAAATAAAACTTCGTTGATATATTTTCATCGAAACAATCGTGCCTATTCCTTCAATGTTTCCTGCCAGATTTTACGGTTTCATTGATTTCTGCCGCGTGTATGGCGGCATTTGACCGTTAAGGGTTAATCTGGCAATCGATGCAGACAATTCTTATTTTGCATAGAGATCCGCAGTCTAATTATCATTCATTAATTACCTATGCCTTCCTTCCATCCCGGGTGTTACAGTATTTTCTTTCCAGAAGCTATAGGTCCGAAGCATGTATAAATTTGATGAGCCGATTTTAGGTTGCTGTATTGTTGTTGTTTTTTTTTAATCAGCTGTTTGTATTGTATTCGACAACGATGCAATTATTGGATGGATAGATCAACTTACATTTCAGACGGCTTATGGATCAGAGACGATCCAAAGCTATTTTATAAATAAAAAGAAAAGCTTACATTTCATCTAATCCGACGACGAAATCCATGGTTCCCGTATGTTCCAAGAAACAAGGAAAAGGAAAACAGTCTTTGTCTTTGCGAATATCATTTCATTCAGTTGGTAGAAGCGCGCTTGTAGCGTTTCCTTCAGAAATAGTTTTGTTTCTCCTTTGGCGTTGGTCCCGTGCCAGTTAGGGGAGGATCCGAACAGAGGAGCAACGTGTTAAAGCGAGGTAGACATTTTTGGAACGTGTAAGCTCTGGTGACAAGACGCGTCGTCGTCGGTTTCTCGTTTTCTTCTAACCACGGCGCATGGAAAATTAAGTCGATTATATACATAACAAATGCCAATCGTCGGCTGACGTTCTTGTTATCGCGTTCCGATTGTTAACACTATGCCGTCCGGTGGCATAACCTTGACATAACCTTGACATAACATGATACAACGATTTTCAGCGGTGTCTCAGAGTCACCACGCGAGTGCAAAGGATTAACCCTTTGCGGACGAGTGTCGGCAAACAGCCGCCCAAGTCTTTTCACCGTTGCGAACGAGTGTCGGCAAATAGCCGCCCAAGTCTTTTTACCGTTTTTTTTATATTAATTTATTAACACTATGCAAAAACTATCTGTTGTATGCCGGCGGTACCGCTTCGGTGCCACTTTAAAAAACTGAAGTAACATTTGAACTATATTTCTTGAGTGTTAAAAGGCGGCGAACTAACTATAGCATCGTGCTTATTTAACTAAGAATTAAGCACGAAAATTCTTGGATGACTTATCTTAATTTCAGGAATCTGTATTACACCGCCATCTTCGAGATTCTTTTTAAAATCTAAAATTTCCAAGCTATTATGCCGGCGTCAAACAAACGAATCGTAACTAAGATCCGCGGACGGCATAGTGTTAAGCACTTCGGTTACGTTAATATAACAAGGTATATTATACTTAGAATGTTTTCAATGAAAAAGCAAATTGTACATACCTATTTCAGAACCGTTCGTAATCCGATCTCTCTCGAATATTCTCCGAGAAATGATAATTAACGCAGAAGGTTATGTTGTTGGAACGAGGATCGAGGAAAAAAATATGTGCTGCGTTAGAGACGATTACGTTCCGACTGACCGCACGCTGCATAACAGTGTAAGCTGACAGACAATTGCGCTGATATTCCCTAGCTATCTAACTTTATCAGTTGGCTAGCTATTTTTATCATGAAGCCAGTCGGACGAATTTCACCCTTGGCTAGATTGGAGAATTCCTCTAATCTAGAGGACCTAGATGATATCTCTCAATTTAGTGTCAACAACTAGGCCCAACAAACTACTATTAGGGCCTAGAACAACAGAACTAGGCCCAACAAACAACTATTAGGACAGGGGTGTCAAACTCAAAAGCTAACTTGGGCCAAATAAACAATGCTTAACTTTAGGTGGGCTGAAAAAAAAAATTAATGTTCATAGAAACAAATATTTTTATTTTGACTAGTACATTGTAATAAACATATATTATATATATATAACTTTTTATATAAAGTTAAATTATTGTTTACGTCCTGATACTTGACATTTCTCGCAAAAATGTTCATCTCGGGCCGCGAGTTTGATACCCCTGGCCTAGAACAACAGAACCAGGCCCAACAAACAACTATTATTATTATTATTTATTTTCAAACAACTATTATTATTATTTTATTAACTATTACTATTATTATTATTATTATTATTATTACAAACAACTTCCTTAACGAAGCGATCAATTATTATATTTCAGTAGAATATTACTGTGCTCTTAGCAACTTTTGCTGTTGCGATATCTCGGTTGCAACATATTTTCAGTTTGAAATACGATTTTGAAACGAAAATCTTGGAATGTACTTTGTAAATTATATTCACGATAATTTCAATTATGTTATGTAATTGTTTTCTTAATTTCGTTGCAACTTGAAGAGGGAGATTTTTCAAATTTTATTTAAAATTATATCATTATATATATACTTTATCGATCTGTTCTATTAACACCTTGACACACTTTTCGACGAGTCCGACACGTGATGGAGATTTCTAGTAATAATCTGTTAAGTATGAAAACGCTGTCCCATTCTTTTTAGTCTGAATAAAGTACTGACTACTTCTTGCCATCGGTATCTAAACGTTTAAACAAACGTGGACACACGATAACTATATATATTAACCTTTTTCTTCTTAGAAATTGTTGCAATCGAGAAACTTTCAATCACTGTGACTATGAAGGAAATGGGTTTATGTCGAAGCTATTTAACCCATTTGCGTCGTATGGAAATATAAAAAAGGCCCATGTCACCGAGAAATTTTTATTTTATACTTAGGTGTAAAATTGTATAAAAGTAAAAAAAGAATCATTTTTCAGCATTATTTGTTCGAAATTTTGTTCAGTGCGGTAATATTAGAAATGTGGGATGCATATATAGGCACTTCACAATTTTCACACTGGTAAAAAATAGTTTCCCTCATTTTCTTTTTTGTAGACAAGCAACGCTTTTGAGCTTGTTTTGACACGAAGTTGATGGTACAACCATCGAAAAATGTTGTCCAGAAAATCTTGACGACAATGATACGGACGTTGTAATTTTTTGTGTTTCTCTCGGTGCATTTAGTTTTCCTATATTATTTGCAATAATTTCTTCAGCAAGTTTTTGTTCGTTGAACATAATGAAATGCTCTGTCTTTATGAATGTTCTTGAAAATAATATAACTATTCAAAAGCAATCATATCGACGCTGAGACAGTGTTTCGCTGAATCGAGAAAGGAGTTTCGTTAAATTAAAATAAATCTTAAATAAATAAATAAATAAATGAAAGTAAATCGTAAGTGGCTCGAATTCTTTCAGCAAAATGTTACAGTTCTCCCAGCAAACTCGCGCCGTTATACGGAATCGAGCCAAGCTCTAATTCACAATTTTTCGGGAAACAGTTCGAACCAGCGCGTCGATCTCGAAGACGATGGAATTAATGCGGCACCCAGGGACAACGGAACGATTATTCGTACGCTGCTCAACGGACGAGCGTGCCAGTCGAGCAGCGGTTTGCGGTTTAATTTCCTTAACCGTGACAGGGCAATCGATTCGGCGGAAGGTGGGTCAAAAAGGAACCACCCCTCGCGCGTAGGAGCTCCAATTTCTGGAGCCTCCCCCCCGCGCGCCCCGCCGGCCGCGATAAAGATGTCAAGTATGAATATTCATGGCTCTCGCCGGCATTAACCATGGATAATTAGCCGCGGCTTGGCATTGCGCGATTACGCGGGCTCGTTACAAGATAGCGCGGCGGCTCCTCCGGCGAGACTCAAGGGCGGTTCACACTCCATTTTCTCCGATCCGCGATTAGGTAGCTACGTTAATACACTTTTTTTCTTCTGTTTTTTTTTTTCGTTTCGTTTCCTCTCCCCGCCGACAATTAGCCGCTACTCGGCGAGCCCGGCTCCGCCGCAGCTGGCGTTAAATCCGCTCGAGCGTGGCGGTTCGTACGCAACACGCTCTCGAGGTCTGGCCGCGCGCCGCGGACCCGTTCAAAAGAATCGAAAGAATAGCCGAGACACCGGGAACTCTCCCCCCTCCTCCCCCCCGTCGAGATTCTTTCAGCGATACAGTAGCGACGGGGACACTCGCGATGCTTTCATTGTCTTCGTTAGCGTCCAGTCTAGCACTCATATTTTACAATTCCGACGGCTTTTTTCGGGCCTCTTTCGTCTTTCGACAACGTGTGCCCGAGGTTCGGGAGCTTTTTCGACGTTTTATCTTCGTTGCGATTCGATCTATCGATAGAGAAAAATATCTTGGATCGGTGCACAGTAATTGTCTCTCTAATTGGCGCTCAGATTGTCCACGAAAATGGACAATTTGGGGAGAGCAGACACGATTATTCGAGCCTTGCGGCTCGTTTTAGTTGTTGTTTGTTATAGTTGTTGACAATCGATAACCATAAAAAACGAGCCACGAGGCTCGAACAATCGTATCTGCTCTTCCACGATTGTCCATTTTTGTGGACAATCTGAGCGTCAATTAGAGAGACATTACTGTACACAGGGAAATTTGGTTATTATCGCCGATTATAGCGATCAGTGGGAAAGAAGAACAATACCGGTCCTTTTATAATAAATGCAGAGAACGATATCATCGGCCAACAATTGCGGTTGTGCCTATTCATTTAAAGAGATATTACTGTAGTAATGTTTCTTTAATTGACGCTCAGATTGTGCACGAAAATGGACAATTTGGGGAGAGGAGACACGATTAGTCGAGCCTTGCGGCTCGTTTTTATAATTGTGGACAATTTATAACTATAAAAATAAACCGCAAGACTCGAATAATCGTATCTCCTTTTCCCAAATTGTCCATTTTTGTGCGGAATGTGAGCGCGAATTAGGGAGAATTTGCTATATTTCTTTATTTCTGCGTTGAAAAACTTGATTTGTGAAATCTGTAAAACGGCATAAATTTCGAAAAATGATATGATACTACAATGTAAAAGAAATATTTATATTTTTACAGTACAACGATAAGTTGTCGCAACTTTTCAGATTTTTCGTTAATAATTCGATAATAATTCGAAATTAAAGGAAACCGAGGGACGGAAAGTAAATAATAATTGATTATGAATAAAGCAATGCAGTATTCTCTTAATAAAATAAACCCGATTGTCCGTTATAAGAAAAACCACCATAGTTTCGAATTCAACGAAGGTCAAATGTTTTACTGTACCAACTTTGGGGTCGCATACTTGTCTTCATTGATTTATAAAAAGGTTAAAATAGATAACAAAGTGAAAAGACGAGCATTTTTTATCTTTCTCTTTTTGTTATTCCAAGTATAGTAAATTCTTCCTAATTATGATTTTCTATCGACGTTGCGATTCGATCGATCGACGAAGAAAAGATTTCGGGTCTGTGTAATTTTTATGATAATTTGGTGTTAAAGATACTGAACCGCGTGGACACCTGTATATAATTATTGCGGGTCTATGTTAACCCTTTACAGACGAGTGGCGACCCTAAGGTATCGCTAAACATTTTTATATCGCGTTTCAAGATAATTTGAATAATTTCAATATCATCGAATTCATTTATATTTCAAAGATTGTTAAAATTGTGACCGTGTTGCGTCAGTGACGAAATCCGATTTCGCACGTATAAAATTCACTGGGTTATGCAAAATGGAAATACTATAGATCGGAGAAACTGTCTTGGATTTCGAGTTAAAACGGCTGCGACTGCGAAGGGTTAACCCTTTGCACTCGAGTGGCGACTTTAAGGCACCGCTAAAATTGTTAGTTCACGTTTCAAGATAATTTTAATATTAACGAAGTTTAAATTTAAAATATTGTTAAAAGTGTAACTGTCATCGCAAGTCATCGCAAGACTCTCATATGCATAAAATATGCACTTCGTCGTGTAAAATGGGAATACCATGAGTCAGAAAAATTATTTTAGATTCACGATGGATTTAAAATGGCTTTTCGAGTGCGAAGGGTTGATATCTAGAGAGCTTTGACGAGGTTATTTGCAACACACAAAGAACTGTAACATCAAAATAGAACGAGAAAAATACAACCGTATGTAAAAAGTAATTGAGAGATCACGATCGTAAAGAACAATTTTTACGTTTTATTTTCGCGCAACCTGTTTTCGATATCCGAGAACGAACGAGCCGCACCGCGTTGTCCCGACGGTTTATTCAATTATCGAAATTTCTCCGTTTGAAGGCGAAGTTAAAACACGTGACGACATTCTGTTTATACAGGGAGAAATTGTCTGGCCTCGAAATGGGCTCCGTTTCCCAGTGGTGCCTGCAAAGTGCCGGCTAAAAATATCATTTCAAATACCAAAGGAAGTTCGTATTGTATTTCATGCAAAAGAATGTTCAAACTACCTGACAGTTCATGCGAACTTCGATGTTTCAACCGTATTCATTTGTCGTTATCGCGAGCGGCGAGTATACTAATCGAAAACAGTTAACCGATTACATTCTGTTATCATTAATTTCTTTGTTAAATTATTATATGTTTTATGCAAGCGTTAAATTTAAACAACATACAAAGAAAAGAAAATATAAACAATATCGTAATTATACAATTACAGTTACTTGCAGACTTTTCGAAGAGATTGCACC